ACTACTATATATATATATATATATATATATATATATGTATGGGAAAGTATATAATGAGACCATTTATCTTTGATACAAGGTGGTCACAATTAATCTTGACCATTGGATGTGAAATTGGGTGGCTGCATTTATTTCATTGACAAAGCTCAAAGTTCAAAAAAAATTTCTCAAACTTTGTGACACTATAGGGGAGATTGTGATAAGAAAATGCATATTGTGATTGCAGACTCTGAAAACCTGAATCAGTTAAGGTCATCACCGTTTAATTAAATGATAGTGACAGTGGACAGAGTCTAGGACCCACCAGAGCGGGATGTGATCATGTTGTTAGGTCTTAATGTCTCTTTATGACCATCTATGGTGATGATTCTGTTGGACTATGGTTTTCTTGTCCATTGTGTTGTAGTTTACTTTCCTTTATGGAAATTTGGTTTTTATCATGTTTAATGGGTTTTTGTAATTTTGGTTTCTTGGCCTTTTAGCTAGTTCTGGTTTTTATTTCGCAAGATTGTGCCAGAGCCTTATGTGCATGTCCGTCCTTTTTAAGCAGAATCATCTTGGCTTAGGTCAACCTCCTTCCTCCTGCTGATTGCTTTGATCTTCTCAAGATACCTTTTGTTGGACCTGGTGCCCTATATCCTTAGTATCCAGTTTCTGGCTCTCTTCTGCTCTGACATTTTCCATCAATACCTCAACCATCTGGATTTCTATTGACATTTTCTATCCATTGTTAAAGTGTATACTGTTAGTTATTTGAAATTGTCCTGAAAAGCAGAATCACACCCTTTTATTGTGCTGCATTTTCGATGAGTCCACCCCTTCACATCTTCCCAGGTGATTGTGTAGCTCTTTTGGCTTTTGGCGGAAGCAGGGTTGTGAATTACATGCATCTGTAAAGAGAGGGATTTGGCTCTTCTGAGAGATTCACAAAATTGTTTAGCGGGAAATGATGTTTTGTTGGTTTTCACAGAAGAAGTTGCACATGTTCATTTCATTTTCTCGATAAATTGGCCCATGGGATCCTGGCATATCACATTATATTGTCTTCTAATTGTGTGAGACAGTCCCTTTGGGTCGTGGGATTTGGGTTCCTCTATGAAGCAATAGGTTAGAAGAATGTGGTGTTTGTTGGAGCAACATTTCATTAAGAGGGGCATGTTCATTTTTCTTTTCCTCTTTGGAAATAAGAAGACATTTTTATCAGTTTTTTCTAAGCAATGTTTTTTTCTTCCAGCAACTGAAATGGATACCCAGGTGAAGCTCGCAGTTGTTGTTAAGGTTATGGGAAGAACTGGATCAAGGGGTCAAGTGACTCAGGTTCGAGTGAAGTTTTTGGATGATCAGAATCGTTTCATCATGCGTAATGTGAAGGGGCCTGTCAGGGAAGGTGACATTCTCACCTTGCTCGAGTCTGAGAGAGAAGCCCGGAGGTTGCGTTGATCTCTCTCATCTTGCCGGGTTTTTGTTTGTGTTTTCTTTCATGTCTACTCATGCATCCGAAATTTGCGAGTACAGCTCTCTGGATTTTTCATTCGAAGCTATGGTGATTTGTGATGTTAAGAGTGGGGTTGGGAAGATCTACTTTCCCATTGATAGCCTTCGGCCTATGATATGTGATTGTTAGGGTATTATAAATCTGGATTGCTTGGATCTTCTTAAATTGCCAAATTTTTCCTAGATAATAGAGTCATTAATGTTATTTCTATGGGAGTTGTTATATAAACCCTAGCTTATGCAGCTTTCCATCAGCTTGGCACATCTGGCCCATCCAGTTCACTAAAAGGGATTTCCAACAATGCAACCATTCTCATTAGGAGGCGCATATCTTTTGATCTTTTCCATGTTCTGTGAAGGAACGGTTAACTTGCTGCTTTCTCTGAGTTCGTTCTATGTTAAAGAGTATCGCCTCTATGTGAAAGTTCTATGTCATATTTGGAAGGTGTTTTGCCTAGCCTTTACAATAGAAAGTAATGCCTCACTGTTAATTAGAGCTTTACAATAGAAGGTGAAGCTGCAAATCAAATTTCAGCCAGCGGTGTATTTTTGTTACGATGCTGGAAAATTCTCAAATTGGTCATCTTGACGTTGGCGATCATGGATTTGAAAAATGATGAATACCAAGTCTTCAAGTATTGTAGTTTGTAACACATTATTTGAAGGGGGTGTATATTATAAGACTATTTACTTTCGATACAAGGTCACACTATTAGCGGATGTGAAATCCAAAAAATTGAGATGTTGAGAAATTTTGTTTTGGATTTTGTGCCCGATCAGTGACACAACACCATCCCCCTTATATCAATCCAACGGTCAAGATTGTAACCTTTTTAGGTCAAAAAAATAAATGGTCTTATGATATATATTCCCTTATTTGAATTATATGTTTTCAATTATTCCCACCACTTTCGAGTTTTGAATTTTATGAAAGTCAATTCCTTGCCATTATAGGGGATTTTAGCGTTGTATTGGGATTTGAAGTTTGGCTCAACTCTTGGGGTGGCGCCTGGTCTGGTTCTGAACTGACGTGACCCGAGCCTAATTGAATAGTGTTCTGGTCCAAATATTGGACCAAGACCTGATTTGTCTGGTCTAATTTTTGGACCTAGGGTCGGGTCTAGGTTCATTGCCACCCCTACTCAACTCTTATTGTAAAGCCCAAGCCTCACTTTTCCACCTAAGCTCATATTTTACGGCTCTGATTTTTATTATAAAAACAACTTATATAGGAAGGAGCTTGGATCATATCACTCTAGAAAATTTATGGACTTTTTTTTTTTTTTAATGAAACTGAACTTCGATAGTATAGTGGATTTTGTATCGCTTTGTTTGTTTGTCCAATTGCAAGTGTTTACAAATTTGTTTTTCCTGCACTGTTTGAGCTTCAAATTTCATCAATGGGGGTTGAATTCCTTCCAATTAATTTTTTTTATCGCAACTTTGATCATTAAGCAAACTTTTCTGGTAAGTACTCCGCGAATAAAAAAAGTCATTGGTTTGTTGATAAAAATGTCATTGTCTGTACACGATGGTGTTACATCTCCGTAAGATGCTCAATGATTAGAAAGAATGCTGAATTGAGTCCACAATGTGTCGGATCACGTGTGGATATTGTGCCGAATCAAGTGGGGACATTGTCGGGCCGCACTTTGGGCTTATTGCCAAACCGTTCTTTGGGATATTGCTGGATAGCTTGTTTATACTATTGGACCGTCTTTTTGTGTGTTATGGGAAAAGATAAGTAGTTGAGGGCATTTTGGTTTAAAAAATCATAATTTGTTTTACTGGGGGTATTTGTTAGAAAAGTTTGTTTTGGGGTAAAAATTGTGATAAAAAAGAGAAAATTGCATAAAACTCCCAAAAATAGACTTTCCAAGCACTTTACCCCACCCTAATTTTTTTTAGCATATTTTTCTCAAAAATCAAGTTTTATAGCAAATACTCCCCAATGCAAAAGTTCATTTTTTATTTTTTTACAAAAATATTCTTATACATAACAAATCATTTTTGGATCCCAATAAAAGGAAACGTCGGACCGTGGTTGTATATTGTCAAACCCATCTATTCTGTCGAACCGGAACTGTACACTGTCGGGCCGTTCTAAACACAATTTCCAATTTTACCAGACTGTAGCTCACAAATGCCGGACTGCTCATTAATCTAGAAACAAATGCCAAACCGCCATGGTCAATGTGTGAGGTAAGGGAAGGGTATTTTAGTCTTGTTTTTTTTTTTTTCGTCTTTTTGAGTTGGAGGGCTATTTGCTTGGAAACATGGTTTTGAGAAAAAAGTTGCTAGGAAAGGTTAGGTTGGGGGTAAATTGCTTAAAAAATCTATTTTTGAGAGTTTTATGTAATTTTCCCTGAAAAAAATTAGTGGGGGTAGGTTGTAAAGAAAGTTGGGTCATAGGGTTTTTTTTTAATTTTCCGAAATAAAAACATGTCACTGTAAAATCAGAACTATTAGTTAGGATGGTGCCCTTCCCTTAAGCATGTGGTTAAAAGGTTCACCTCTTAGAGGCCAGATGCTTGTATTGCTGATGGACTAGATGCATCTCTATCTGAAAAAGAGAAACGCAAATATGTTGCTATAGTCCTTGAGAAAGCAAAAAGAGAAGCGCAAATATGGTGCTATAGTCCCTAAGAAAGCAGACGTTCAAAAAATTACTCTCATAATCTTATTTATGATATTGATGTCTGCCCTCTGTTTTTTGTAAAAAGAATGGATATATATTTTATGGTATCTATATACTTATAATTGTATACACTTATATTTCTATATCTTATATGGAACAACAATGTTTAATTTAGTATATTTGAAAAGTGAAAACTAAATAAGTTAAGTGTGAATTTTTTATGGTTTTGTAGTTTAAATGGTGAACAATTTACTTGCTTATAGTACATTGTGAATGATTTGATATTCTTTTCGGTTTGCATCAAATATTCTTGAGTGGTTTGAATGATAAAAGCTAAAGGAGTAGATGTTAATTTATGGTGGTTTTGTGGCTTGAATATTTTCATAATTTGCTATTAGCATTGTACATTTTTGGAACCTCATAATTTGAGCGTATGTGATTTCTTCCACAAATGTGTGTCAAATAAAATTGAATCGTTTATAATTTGAGCGTAAGAGATTAGGGATAATTGAATCGGTTATAAAATTAGTTATACCATTAATGTTGAACCTCCACATGATTGCTTTGTACCTGTCCTTCATAAATGCACGTGTCCTTCATAAATGTGTGTGAAATAAAGAGGAATACATTACCCCAATTAGATACCAAATTTTTTGAAACTACATATTTGCACATCTTACCTCTCTCTCCGTACATGTAGTATAACATTACTTGGATTGTACACTTAACGAATTGAAAGACTCACAATCAACGAGACGGGCTCTAGTGATAATATATAGCATCTGATGACAATTTAGTATACATTCTACTCATCTAAAATCCTTTCAAGAAATAGGCTGACAAATTATTGCTATACTTATAATACATTGCATTGATAATTATAATATTACACAATTCATAAACTACCTTCCAAATGGGGTAGTCCATTCAATAGCAAAATTGTTCATATAAAGTTCAATAGTCCAACCCATTGTTACATCATGGTTCGTTCCTTGTACCCAATCACCTTACATATCACCATATAACCCAAAAGGAAGTGAAAAGAGTACAATGGCATACAACAATCTTTTTTTTTGAGTGAATGGTATACAACCACCATCAATAATGGCAATAGTTTAACAACAAACATTTCAAAAAAAAAGAAAAAAAGAAGCCAACAACATAACCCCTCCTTTGAAGTTGTTCCATATGAATTTGTTCTCTCTGTCTGGGACATAAAACACATTACGATGAGCGACAATATTGTTCCAAATGAAATTACAAATATGAACTTATACATATATAAAAATGTTTCAAAATGAACTTGCAAACATGCCTTCCAAACAATTGTTTCTTACCATCAATGCACATCTGCTGCCGTCTTATGGGTCCGAAGCTTACGATGTGTTTTGTCCTTAGCCATGTAAGAGGAAGATAAATTCTTATGTTAGCATTTCAATTAAACTAATACAATTGTAAATCAAATATATCAACAATAATGAAGATAACACAATTGCAAATCAAAATAATACAAAGGTATGTAATTGTACCTATCACAACGAACGACGAGCAATTCTTTTTGTCATGTCCACTGCCATTGCAGACTGCGCATTTTGTTTTTTTAGTCTTCGGCTTCCATCCCTCAGAACAAGCTTTCATTCTTTTAGTGACCGGTCGTCCGTTTGTCCGTGCACGTGCAGGTTCAAGGATATTGTGGCAATGGTTACTTCCACTTGGTACGTTACTACATCTAGCGGAATTGTCATATTCATTGAGATAACTCATGGCATTATCCTATAGACCTCTCTTGCACACAAACTTTTCATCAAACTGACGAATTCCATTTTGTATCATGGACATTACAAACCCATGGCCTCTATACTTCGTGAAGCACGCTCGGCAAGGGATCGACTTGCCTGCATAGCCTCATTATATCTAATAGAGCATGGTAGTTCAGATGTTACTTGAATTTGTTCCCTAATGTCATCAAGAAAAACTCACTTCTTTACATCCTTGGTCCAACGCCTCATTATATATTGTGAAAGGATTTCAAATACATCTTTCACCATAAAAAACTTCAGTACATGCTTGTAAAGAAGACCCATCCTCTCAAAGAAGTGACAACTGCAAGAATCGGAATTGTCATGACAATTGAATTTCATTAAGTAGGGTCTAGATCCGGTCCTCGGGACTGCCACCTTAAAGGTAGCAACCTATCCATTGTTTTCAATTGTCTCCCTCGTAAAATTAAAGTAATTAGCCACCTCTTCCCCAAATATCTTTAAAATATTTTGAGTACAAATTTTTTATGCATGTGACTCAATGAAAGTGGCTGTTCGCAAGATTGGAGTAGTTTGAATATCTTTTCAGTCATTTTCCCTTTATTTTCGCACCTTCTTATCTTGGACTTTTGGAATAACTTCTAATAATGTACGCAAGCTTGTTGTGGGTGTCAAGTACATTTTGAAGTGTGCATTCATCCCTTCACTCATTTGAGTAGAGGTAATACCCACAATGAATGTGCCAGCCAAGTATGCATCAACACATTGCATGCGACAACCATAAAGTCTACTAAGCCATTCATTGTCTTCCAACTTATAATTATCAATCATTGATTTTCATCCCAATTCAAATTCTTTAATTGTTGCGCTAGCCACACACCTCCTAAATGTATTTGAATAAGAAAGATGCATATGCAAGACAAGACACATTTTTTCTTTGATCTTCGTAAATATGTGTCACTTACAATAATGATGTTTACTTTGGTAGAGAACTTGCATCATTGCATATAAAATTGCAGGATCTTGATTAGTGAGAATAATGTATGGCTGCCGTCCACCTATGGCTTCCAACCAGTTTTCAAATACTTATATAAATGATTCTATTTTCTCGTCAAATATGAGTGCAAATCCAAAAAACGTTGTACTGAAATTATGATTTACACCAAGTATAGGTGCAAAGGGCACACCAAACGTATTTGTCATATATATGGTATTAAAGGTAACCACATCAGAAAAGCACTTGTAGGAAACTCTAGATGTATAATCTACCCATAAGATACTGCGAATGTGATTATCACCATCTAATCTCAATCTATAGAAAAATGATGGGTTCGATTGGTTGTTTTTATAAAGCCATTACAAAATTAAATTGCCATCTTCCCCTTTAAGTTTTCTTCTAGCGCTTACTATTTCATTTTGAATGTCCTTTTGTATATAAGGGACATTGTCGATCCGTCCAGCCTGCTCTATAAATATGTCATTAATATGTCTAGGCTTAATCATTGCTGAGCTCATTGAATGTATCAATAACTTTGTAGCACTCGACAATAATCGATGTGTGTGAATTAGACGAGTTTTTCTTAGACTAACTAGATCGTGATTATGATCTTTAATGACGCTAGTTACTTCCACTCGCCGTCTTCTTGACTACTTATGTACATCCTAACCTTGCACCCACACCTTAACTCAGGGTAAACCTTTCCACTTTTATTAGGTTTTTCTTGTTTAAAGCTTTCCTTTGAGCAAATATAAACCCTATCGATCCGTTTACCTTTCTTGTTATGAGTACTCCCCATACGAATACCAAAACTTTTAGTCAATGCATAAGAATTAAAGAACTCATATGCATCATCCTATGATCCAAACATCATTCCTATATATGGTTCTTCTATTTATTGGCCTATGTTTGAGGTGCCACAACCACCTCCGGGATTTCATCAATGCTGCCTACATTTGGGTATGTGCTGAATGTCACACCCATTGAATTCGTGGAATCCATCTCAGTTTTTTGACTTACCTAACGTGAAACTGTAAACTACAAAAACACATGTATTCAAACCTTCATCTTAAGAATACCAATCATATTTTTCTCAACCCACTTTGCCACATGCAAAAATTGTAACAAAGGATACTACATACTTGTAATATAAACTCAATGCAGTAGGGACAAAACAACCCAATGGGCAAAAAAAAAAAAATGCAACAAAAAAACAAAAAAACAAAAAGGGAAAGAAAATGGGGGAGAAAGACACAATTGAAAAAATAAATAAAAATTTGCGACAGATGTATTCTAATTTCCAAGAGTAAGTAATTCATTATATGGTGCATCAGATGCCACATGAAGATATTGGGCTTAGACATAATATATGTTATATCAAAATGTATAAAAATAAACATAACAAAGCTTAGAAATTTTTGAAAGAAAACTTGTTCTCAACGAACTCATTTGATTTGTTTTTTAAAGGATGCTTCTGTTAAAATGATCAGATGCGATCAAATGCTATTCTCACTCTATCACATCCATGGAATGCATCAGCCATTGTATTTTCTCTCTGTAGCCAATGCACAAAAACACATCGATGCTGAGAGAGAATCTGTTGAACTGAAATCAGAAACTCAATTTATTTCAATTTTAATAATACCAATCATATTTTTTCTCAACCTATAGAAACAAATGCAAAAATTGCAACAGATGGATACTACATATTTGTGATGTAAACTCAATGCAACAGGGGCGAAAAACCCCAATGGGAAAAAAATACAGGAAAAACCCTAATGGATACTACAGATTTGTGATATAAACTCATTTTAACTGAGCCAAATACAGAGTGAAGAGTACCTATAAACTCATTCTAACTGAAATTAGAAATACAATTTATTTCAGTTTTAATAATACCAATCGTATTTTTCTCAACCCACCTTGCCACATACAAAAATTGCAACAGATAGATACATCACAAGTTTTTATAACATGGAGATGGATAAACATGGAGTTGGATATTTCATTAAAAAACAACCACGCCGCTTTTATTTCTGATCATCTTATCGACAAATTGAGATAACCGTTTTCCTAGTATGAATTGACTTGGAATATCGTTCAAAACTGATGAGGAAATATAACAAACCCTTTTTTGAATGCCAAAGGTAGTTTTACCATTAACCTGCAAAATTATGGGACGTGTGTGTACAACAATCTATTATCAACCATTTCCATCGATTAATGGTAATTTTTTGAAAGAAATAATAACATAATTCCAAAAAATCATATGCAAATTAGTTTATGATATAAACCCCAATGGATACTATAGATTTGTGATATAAACTCATTTTAACTGAGTCAAATATATATAGAGAGAAAGAGAGTACCTATAGAGATGGGGTGAGCTGCTGTTAGGAGGCTAGTCAGGGATCGAGCGAGCGATGGGTAGAGAGAGAGATAGAGAGAGAGAGAGTGGCCTTTGGGGTATTCTTTAACATCAGGGGAAAAGAGAGAGGGTGGGGAGGCCACACCAGGGATCGAGTGAGCGGCCTTTGGGTTTTTTTAAGCGAGCGAAAGGCACAGGGAAGATGGAAGATGAGCGGCCTTTGAATAGGGAAGACGAGGGGCCTTTGGGTTTTTCTCAACGAGCAAGGGAAAGAGAGACAGAGAGAGAGCGAGCGGCCTGTGTTTGAGCAGAGGAAAGAGGGACACATGGATGAGGAAGAAAACCAAGGAAGAGAGAGAAAATGCATTGATTTGGAAGAGAGAGAGAATAGGAGTGAGTATAGGAGAGATAAGCTATCATTACTCATATCAGTACTATTATGTACCGATGTGTCACTGGATCATTAAAAATATATATATTTTTTTAATAAAATAAGGGTGGAAAATATATTTTTTTTTAATGAAATAAGGGTGGAACGTTACCAAGCCGTCCTGACCGTCAATTTCGAAACTTTTGACCA